CTCCAATCTCAAGAATAATGTAGTGTTCCTACCTTCCCTATGTGGGAAGGGACACTCCTCTATCTAGTTCACTCAGTGATAAGTTAGAGTCCCTTTTTGAAATGTCTTTAAGCCTTTAATTATCAATCATAGCTTAATTTAGGCCATAGGGTCTAACCCTTATATTATCATCATCTTCCATATCTCATAAGAATTATATGAGTATAAGTCCATTCATCACAATTCATACAAGTGTTAACACATTAGCATTTCATTGAATATTAAGACACATTGATAGTTTTCACCATCCTTATATCAGATACACCTTAATCAACCTCAAAACATAGTCAAGACACTTAAATTAAACATCATACTACCCTATAATCCTAGTATAAGGACTACTCAAATGTAATATCATGACTTACCAACAATTTATCACAATTGGAACTAAAAATAGAAATTCTAAGACTTACCAAGTCTTCCTCATAGTCTATCATCAAGGTCTTACCATCAACCCATAACTCAACCCAAATTTGGGAGTAACATCATCACACAATGATAACCAATTGAATAACAAGGCCAATTGCATCTCTATGACACAATTCATCTTTAGATCACAACTTGAGAAAAGATACATAGGCTAATTTCATATTATAATTCATAACCTAAATAACATCTCAAGAACTAGAATTATAGGCCTATAATTCATGTTAATTTATTCACAATTACACCATAGGATTGTAATCAAATCAAAAACCAACTTAATTTAATGTTCAAAATATGATATATGTCAAGATCACTATATAGGGTTAGGGATAAAGGATTATATTCTTCAATTTAGATTAAACCATCAAAAATTACCATAATAAGTTGAATTACATGTTAATATACTCAATATAACCCTAAGAAATCATCAAAAACTCAATCCATAAATTCAATTTCGAAATTTAAAGAAACCTATAGGAAAACATAACTTTTTGAAATCTATTTTAAAGGAACCTTTGAGGAAAGAGTCTCAAAGGTTAATAGAACCCATACATTAATGTTTGTCAACAATTTTATTGTGAATTTGTCCCTTTCCATCCCCCAAACACTAGTCCTTGCTAGTCTTCAATAGTGAGTTCATGTAGAGAGAGAAATAGGAGAGAAAGAAAAGAGTTTATTTGAGAGTAGTCTTTTGGTTAACGAGGTGATGGTATTTATAGTGGGACTTAATAAACTTAATTAGTCTCCATTTAACCCCCAACTAACCTCTAAACCACTTAATTAAATAAATAAGACCAACTTAAGTTAGGTAGAAAACTCAACCCTCACAGACGAAACCATGATCGATGGGCCGTAGGTGAGTCAACAGATAACCCCCCTCCGTCCTGCACTTCGTCATCTTTGTCAGAGACTGTGCAGGCAAGGTCTTCCTTCAATTGTCTAAGTGTGGGATGACAGTGGCATCGACGCCTCGTTGATCCACACATGGACTGTAGCCTGCACCTCTGCACTTCCTCGATGAGTTCAGAGTTTGTGCAAGTGAAGGGACCTTCTCCACCAACTTAAGTGTGGGACAACGGTGGCATCGACACCCTGTCGATCTACACGGTCCGTCTTTTGTCCTATCGATGCACACTACCAGGGAGTGTTGCTTCAAACTACAAGGGTCCTCCTCAAGGTCCCTTTGTTCGTCCTTGTGGAGTCGTACCCGTACATTTAAACCATGAAACAACTCAAACATATATTAGATATCTTTCCACAAATTTTCGTACATTTCTGACTCTTAAAAGTTAGTGAAATAGGCTAAAACACACTAACACCCCTTTGAACTAACTTCCCGGACATCATGGACGTTTTGGTTCTTAAACCTCCTAAATGACCTATACTCATTAACATTGGATTTATAAATAGTACTTAGAATTTATGACACCTATGTTACGCTTTACGACACATCTTTGATTTTCAAGGTGTTACAGAAGGACTAGCAGACCAAAAAAACCGTCTTTATGCTATCACTAGTTGCCAAGAGCAAGAGAATTCCCCAGATGTTGTCACTGGTATGATCAAAGTCTTTAATTTTGATTTTTATGCTTTTCTAGATCCATGAGCGATTCTATATTTTTTGACTCCTTATATTGCACTAAATTTTGATATTCTTCATGAGCAAATTCTTGAACCCTTCAGTGCTTCTACACCTATTTGTGAGTCTATTCTAGTTAAGGGACTGTCATGATTGTACCATTTTTTAAATCACAAGAATACCATGATTGAATTAGATAAGTTGGATATGGTAGATTTTGATGTCATTCTAGGCATCCACTAATTTCATGCCTATTATCCCTCAATTGATTGTCGAACTCAAGTTGTTAGGTGCCACTTTTCTAATGAGCCAGTAATAAAGTGGAGTAGCGGTTCAACACTACCTAAGGGTCATTTCATTTTGTGCCTTAAGGAGAAAAAGTTAGTTTCTAAGGTTTGTATCGAACACTTAGTTTAAATTAATGAGTCAAGTGTTGAGACACCTTCTATTGAGTCAGTTCCAATTGTTCTTGAGTTTATAGAGGCCTTCCGAGATGATGCACTCGGAGTCCCTCCTAAGAGAGAAATATACTTTTGTAAGATATTCTTCCCGATACGCGTCCTATCTCTATTCCACCATATAGAATGACTAAAATAGAGTTGAAAGAGTTAAAAGATATCCTTGAGAAATGTTTTATTCAACCAAGTGTCTCACATTGGGGTGCTCCAATCTTATTTGTGAGGAAGAAGGATGGTTCTATTAGAATGTGCATAGATTACCTTTATTTGAAAAATGTAACTGTCTAGAATAAGTATCATCTTCTGAGAATTGATGATCTTTTTGATCAACTTTAGGGTGCCACTTGTTTTTGTAAGATAGACCTCATATTTGTCTATCATCAGTTGAGAGTTAGAGAAAGTGATATCCTTAAGACAACATTCGACAACCAATTATGGTCATTATGAGTTCCTAGTTATGTCCTTTTGTTTGACCAATTCTCATGCAACATTCATGGACCTTATGAATAGAGTATTCAAACCTTATTTAGATATGTTTGTTCTCATATTCATTGATGACATTAAGATCCATTTGAAGAATGAGGAAGATCGTGCTAGACATATCCTAGTAGTTCTACAAACTTTTAAGGATATGGAGTAATATAAAAAAAATTCAAAGTGTGAATTTTTGCTTGAGTCTCTGGCATTCTTAGGCCATATTGTTTCTGGTGATCGATTAGAGTTGATACTCTGGAAATAGAGGCAACAAAGAATTTTCCTAGACCTATATCTCCTACTAATATTATAAAAGGTTCGTTGAGGGGTTCTCATCTATTTCATCCCCATTGACTACATGGACTAAGCAGACATTTGAGTTTCAGTAGTATGAAGCTTTTCAGAAATTGAAAAAGTGGTTGACTACTGCCCCAATATTGACATAACGAGAAGGTACACAAGGAATTATAATGTATTGTGATGTGTCTAGAGTTGTGTTGGTTGTGTGTTGATACCGAATGACAAAGTTATAGCTTATGGCTCCAGACAACTTATAGTTCACGAGAAAAATACCCTATCCATGATCTAGAGTTGGTTTTCATAGTGTATGCTTTGAAAATATGGTGTCACTATCTATATGTTTTTCATGTATATGTGTTCAACCATCATAAGAGCCTTCAGTACGTGCTTAGTTTGAAAGAGCTTAATCTCAGACAAAGAAGGTGGTTGGATTTACTCAAGGATTTTAATATGAGTATTCTTTATCACCAATGTAAGGATAATGTTGTTGCTAATGCTTTGAGCAGGTTTTATATGGGTAGTACCTCACATGTTGATGGAAACAAGAAATACTTAGCAAAAGATATGCATATACTTGAACGATAAGGACCTTGTTTGATGGATTCCAACGAAGGAGGATTAGTGGTGATGAATGAGGCTGAATCATCATTCCTGTTAGAAGTGAAAGAGAAATAAGATCAAGATTCTACTTTGCTAGAATTAATGGTTAATGTTCATACGCAGAAAGTAATGACTTTTCAACAAAGGGGGGATGGTGTATTGAGGTATCAAGGTAGATTGTGTGTGCCAAGGGCGGTGAGCTCCATGAGAGGATGAGATCTCATAGTTCCAGATTTCTATCCATTCAGGTTCCACAAAGATGTATCATGATTAGAGAGAGAGAGAGAGAGTTACTGGTGGAGTAGAATTAACAAAGACATTGCAAAGTTTGTTGCTAATGATCGAATTTTCAACAAGTTAAGGTACAACACTAAATGCCTGGTGGTATGGCTCAGAATATAGAGATTCAATGTAAGTGAGAGATGATCAATATGGAATTTATTACTTAATAGCCGTTATAACAACCCGTCTTACTCATATGCTTGTTCTACTCTTGTAATACTGCTAGCCTTATAGTATAGATGTGGGACCGTATTCCTTATATGATTAGGGTTGGTTTAAATTTTTTGGAAAGTGATGCATCATGTCATGCACGTTTTAGAGTATTTACTATAAGTTGACTCCGCCAGATGTATTTAAACTGGAGATACTAAGGTGGTCACTGAGCTTAAATTTGAAAGTTAAGTTCTAAGTTGAATCAAAAGGATGTATTTTCATAAAATGGAATAAAATAATTGAGCTGCTTGCTTGGCTTTATTAATCTAGAAGTTGCATCACCTACTTGAGCTATAATAAAAGGGCCCAAGCTTGATGGACCAGATTTAGAATTATAGTAATGGGCTCACTTGAAGCCCAAACCTATTAAAAGAAAATAAAAATGAAAGGAAGTCCAATAGCCCAATCTGCCAAGGCCCTATATAGATAAATCCCAAGGTAAAGCAACTAGGTGCATCACCTAGTTTGACCTTTTGAGGTAGTTGATGTGCATAAGTAGATCCATCACCTACTTGACCAATTTGTGGCTGAAAATGGACCCCAGAAAAGAAAGGTTCTAAAGAATATTTTTGTGGTCAATAAAGCTCCATATATATCCAATATGATCAGATATCCTTTACCAATTTTAACACATAAAAATAAGAATTAACTCCAATTCTCTCTCTCTCTCTCTCTCTCTCTCTCTCTTTTCTCTTAAAGATTAAACCAGCAACCTTAAAGTTTTCTAGGGTTCTTGAAGAAACCCTCATATCTGCAAACCAAGGTAAGTGAAAACTCATGGATTTAGCTTAATTCTCCCATGGATGATAAGGAGACATGTTATACATGCTCTAATATAACTACAAAGGCAGAATATTTCAAGCAGCTACTGCTCAATTCCTTAGTTATTGAAATACCTTTCTTTCTTCTTTGGTTTAAGTGTGAAGGGAAGCATAAGTTCTAAAAGAATTCAAGTTATAAGGAGAAGTTGCCGAAATTGAGGTAAGGTGACTGCTACATTTTTGTCTTCCTTGTGTATGAGTTTGAGTGAGGAATTAGAGTTGTGCTGTCATGAAGAACTAAAGGGGGTGGTGAGTTCAATAGTTGGTTGTATGATAAAGAATATTTGGGGCTGTTCTATGTGTATTACTGTTGGCGCAAGTTGGTTGATCTTGGGGAAATGATGTATAATGTATGTGATGGATAGAGAATGAGGGTATGGTGATACACATTATGTTGAGGGATCTATGGTCTCATTATCTGTCAAAGTTAGCTACTGTTTTTCGAGGCTCATGGTGTGATAGCTGCTAATTTTAATTTGCCATGACTTAAATTGTAGAATAAAACCATAAAGGGGAGGCTGAATCATAATTGTATATCACTATGAGGATAAGGTATGTAAGACTATGAAATCTGATACTTGCGATTAATACCAATGAAGTGAATCTCATAAAATCTATTCCTAGAAAAGGAAACATAGTTACAACGTACTGTCTCCAAATAGCTAACAAAATTTCCCCCCTCTCTATAGTGCATAGAACTACTTCTTTATATGTTCACTATCTTGTACTTGTGTAATTATTCACCCCCGGGCTGGTATAGAAATGGTATTATCAAAAGCAAGTCTGGTGAATCCTCCTCTTTGTTGTTTGAAGTTAATTGTGTCATTAAGCTCTTAAATAATGTGTTTATGTTACATGGATCCTTATGTCATTGTTATTGCCTTTAAGTATTTTTTTCATGTCTTCTATTACTGGCCTTTACTTCCATATCTTCAAAATTATTATGACCACCAAATAACATAATAAAAGAGTTACGATTCTCGAAAAAGCGATCCCAAAAGTTTTACAAAGTGATAAACAACAATCTCAAAGATTAAAGAATCTAAGTGATGAAATCTATATAATTACGGGTGGCAGCCTAGGGGCGAAAGCCTAGAATGGGTCAATCCCAAGTAGTACATAAGGGTGGTAGCTTAGGGGATAAAGTCTATCATGGGACGATACCAATTGGTATAGAAGGGTGGTATTTAAGTGGCGAAAGCCTAGCATGGACCCATCCCAAATTGTGTAATTATGAGGACTGCATCAAAGGGGCTAATATACCTAGCATGGGTCATCCTCTTCTACCACTGATTAGCTGGTCACTTGTATCACATGCCCTACAAAGATTATAACATACAGAAAAGTAAAGAAAATAATGTAACTTACATGATCTCACAAGAGTAAGCAAAAGTGGTCTTTTCTCCTGATCTATGCACTCATATGTTGATACTTGATTTCATTTGAGCCCTCTTATTACATATGCTATATTGCCTTACATAATAAGTACATTTTTTTGTACTGGCGTCCCTCACGGGGGACGCTGCATTCATGCTGCAGGCACATGTAATCCAACTAGTAGACCTTTCTCAGTAGGAGCATATGACACTGTGCAACTTTTGGTGAGCTCCAGGTTGATTTGAAGCTTTACTGAGTCCTTGGTAAATTCATGTTGGTATTGTATTATAGTTGTGTCTTAAGGTGTTGTGGCCTCAATGGCCAAGTCTTGTATATAAATATTTGGGTCTACTTATGTGGTTTTTATCGTTGTGTCCTTTATGAACTTGTCATGATTGTTATAGTTATATGCAAAGTAAGAACAGACTTCAGGTTGGTTCTCTCGGGACCTTAGGGCTTCGGGTGTCTGTCCATCTTAATTGTTTTTGAGGCGTGACAAAAGTGGTTTCAGAGCAAGTCATACTAGGGAGTCTACAAAACTGTGTCTGTGTAGGGTCTTGCCTATGGATGTGTCGTGCACCATATCTATAAACAGGAGGCTACGGGACATGTAAGATTTGTCTCATTTCTTAGTTAGTGCGATAGAACCAATGTTGTAGGTGAATTATATTTAATTTCTAAATTGTTTTGTTATAAGAAAGATGCTGGTTACGAGAAGGAGTAAAATTACTGGTAAGAGAGTAGATGTGGCTCCCTAAAAAGGGACCCAACCAACCACCACTAAGTCAAGCTGTTCAAAGTGCATCTCAAGATGAGTCTCTATCGCAGACTTCCCCGACGCCTCCATCTCCTGAAGAACTAAGGAGGGAAGATGAACCTCAGGAACATCCTATTAATGCTACCGAGCAAGATTTGAGGAATGTACTCCAATTATTAACTCGTATAGTGGTGTAGATAGAGCAGCTGGAACACTGATACATGATTTTCTTAACTTGGACCCTCCATCACTCACCAAGTCAGATCCTAATGTAGGATGCAAGACTTTATAGATCAGATAAATGAGTTTTGGATATTATGCATGCTAGTGGTATAAAAGCACTTGAGCTAGCAGCATATAGATTATGAAGCTTTGAAGTAATCTAGGGGAATATATGCACCTTCAGCTACGTGGAAAGAGTTCAAAAAGGCATTCCTTGAGCATTATCTTCCATTGGAGATCTGAAAGGCCCATGCGGATCAGTTGTTAAATCTCCACCAAAGAGGTATGAGCGTGAGAGAGTATAGTCTCAAATTCATTTCCTTAGCAAGATATGCTCCTAATGTAGTAGCTACCACGGAGGATAGAGTTCATCGATATGTGGATAAATTCGACCCATATTTAGTTGGAGACTGTACCACTGCTTCATTGAATAAAGATATGGATACAGCAAGGATGCAGGCCTTTGGGAAAAAGTTAGAGGGTAAAAGGCAAAGCAAAAGGATACAAGAGTTAGAAACAGGGAAGTACGAGCCAATCAAGGCCTCTTCGACAGCCTTGTAAATAGTGTGGGAGGAATCATCCGGTGCATGTAGGTTTAGGACATATGTTTGTTTTTGGTGTGGCGCACCAAGGCATATATGAGAAACTGCCCTCATAGGGGCATGGGTGGCGTTGCACAGCCAACTAGATTAGTTGTTGCATCAAACTCATCAACACCGTCTTTGGGTAGGGGGGTACAGATTCCTAGAGGTTGTGGTAGCGGAACTAGGGGAGTAACAAGCTCTAGTGGATGTCAGAATCGTACATATGCACTAGGAGATCGACAAAATTAAGAAGCCTCGCCAGATGCGGTTACAGGTACATTGTCCATCTTTTCACATATTGTATATGCATTAATTGATCTGGGGTCTACACTATCATATGTTACACCGTTGATTGTTGGAAAGTTCAAAAGAGCATCAAAATTATTTCCGAAGCCATTTGAATTGTCTAAACCAATTGGTGAGTCTATTATAGCTAGAATTGTTTATCGTAATTGTATTGTAACTGTTTGTAATCATAATACATTGGCTGACCTTGTTGATCTAGACATGGTAGCTTTTGATGTTATATTGGCTATGGATTGGTTAGCTTATTATTATGCCACGGTAGATTGCCGAACTAAGATAGTGCATTTCTAGTTTCCAAAAGAGGTAGTACTCGAATGTAAATATAGTATTGGGGCGCAAAGAGGTAAATTTATTTCTTATCATAAGGCAAAGAAGATGATTTCCAAAGGATACATATCTCATATGGTTAGAGTAAAAAATTTAGATGTGGAGTCACCAACCCTTCAATCCATTTCGGGGTAAATGATTTTCCAGATGTGTTTCCTGAATATCTTCATGGTTTGCCTCCAGAACGTGAAGTAGAGTTCGGTATTGATGTGCTTCCAGATACTTAACCTATCTCGATTCCTCCGTATAGAATGACTCCGGCCAAACTACGGGAGTTGAAGGAGCAATTAAAAGATTTCTTAGAAAAAGGATTCATAAGGCCTAGTATGTCCCCATAGGGAGCACCAATTTTATTTGTACGCAAGAAAGATGGATCATTAAGAATGTGTATAGACTACCGATAGTGAATAAGGTAACAATTAAGAACAAATATACCCTCCCTAGAAGTAATGATTTGTTTGACAGTTACAAGGTTCTAGGCGTTTTTCAAAGATCGATCTGAGGTCAGATTATCACCAAGTGAGGGTCATGGACAAAGATATACCCAAGACAGATTTACGAACACGGTATGGTCATTTTGAGTTCTTAATCATGTCACTCGGGCTAACAAATGCACCAACAACTTTTGTGGATTTGATGAATACGGTGTTCAAGCCATTTTTAGATGTGTTCGTGATAGTGTTCATAGATGACATGTTTGTGAATTCAAGATTGGAAGAGGATCATTCTAATCACTTGTGGTAGGTTTTACAAATTCTTTGTGATCGTAAACTATAAGCAAAGTAAACTCTAAATGTGAGTTCTGGTTGAAATTTTTGGCATTCTTAGGTCATATTGTATCCGAGGAAGGAGTAAGGGTTGATAACCAGAAAATAGAAGCTGTGAAAAGCTGGCCAAGACCTACAACACCTACAGAGATCCGTATTTTTTTTATTGGAAGGTTATTACAGAAGGTTCGTTGAAGGATTTTCTTCCATTTCTTCACCGTTGACAAATCTTACACACAAAGAAACCAAGTTTCAGTGGAGTGATGAGTGTGAAAGAAGCTTCAAAGAGCTGAAGAGTAAATTAACTTCTACACCTGTGTTGGTACTTCTAGAAGGCACAGAAGGCTATGCAGTGTATATTGATGCTTCGGGAGTGGGCTTAGGTTGGGTATTGACTCATCATAGTAAAGTTATAGCTTATGTCTCAAGCCAGCTGCGTCCACATAAGAAAAATTATCCAACCCATGATCTAGATCTAGCAACAATTGTGTTTGCTTTGACGATATGGCGCCACTACTTATATGTAGTTCATATTGACATTTACGCTAATGATAAGAGTTTGTAATATATCTTTAAGCAAAAGGACTTAAATGTCAGGCAGTGAAGGTGGTTGGAGCTATTAAAAGATAATGACATTGATATCTTGTATCATCCCAGTAAAACAAATGTAGTAGCTGATGCTTTAAGCCGTAAAATACTAGCAAGTACTTTTGGGTAGTCTGTGGATTGACAAGGAATAACTAAGGATCTATGTCAACTAGCTAGTTTGGGGGTTTGCCTTCATGAATTGTAAGATGAAGGGGTTATTGTGCAAAATGCGGCAGAATTCTTATTAGTAGTGGAAGTGAAAGAGAAGCAGTGCACTGATCCTATTCTTTTACAGCTTAAGGAGAATAAACAACATGGTTTGACAAAGGCAAGAGGGAGTAGTTCGATGTCAAAACAGATTGTGTGTACATAATGTAGATGAACTAAGAAAGAGGATCATGATGGAAGCATCATTTAAGATATTCTGTTTATTCGGGGTCAACTAAAATGTATCATGACTAGAGAGAAATGTATTGGTGGGGGGACATGAAGAGGAGCATTGCAGAATTGGTGGCTCAGTGTCCAAATTGTCAACAATTAAAAGTAGAGCACCAGAGGCCAGGAGGTTATATGAAGCATATAGAACTTTTTATTTGGAAATGGGGCATGATCAACAGGGATTTTGTCACTGGTTTGCCTCTCTCATTCCAGAAGTTTGACTCCATATGGGTAATAGTCGACATACTCACCAAAGCAGCACACTTCTTGCTGGTGAAGACTACTTATACAGTTGAAGAGTATGCGAGGTTGTACATTAAAGAGATAGTTCAACTACATGGAGTGCCAATCTCTATAATATATGATAGAGGAGCCTACTTCACTACAAATTTTTAGAAGTCGTTCCAAACGAGTTTGAGAACAAAAGTGAATTTAAATACAACCTTTCACCCTTAAATGGATGGCCAGGCAGAACGTACAATTCAGACACTTGAGGATATGCTGCGAGCTTGCATATTAGATTTCAAGGGTAGCTGGTATGATCACCTACCTCTTATTGAATATGCTTATAACAATAGCTACCATACGAGCATTAAAATGGCACCTTATGAAGCCTTACATAGTCGAAAGTGTAGATCACTAATTGGCTAGTTTGAAACAAGTGAAACTGCCTTATTTGGGATAGATCTTGTTCATCAAGCTATGGAAAAAGTCAAAGCAATACATCAGCGGCTAGAAACAGCTCAAAGTCGATATAAATCATGTGCGGATAATAGAAGGAGAGGACTAGAGTTTTCTATAGGGATTGGGTGTTCTTCAAGGTGTTTACAATGAAAGGGGTAATGTGGTTTGGTAAAAAGGGAAAGTTGAGTCGGCGCTATAAGGTCCATAAAATATTATTCAAAAATTCGGCCAAGTAGCCTATGAGTTAGAACTACCACAAGAGCTTTCATCATTTCATCCGTTGTTTCATATCTCAATGCTACGAAAATGCGTAGGGGACCTATCTCCTGTTACTCCTACTGAAGATGTACATGTTACGGGAGATCTCACTTATGAAGAAGTACCCATTGCTATTCTAGATAAAGTTAGGAAGTTAAGAAATAAAGAGGTAGCTTCTGCATAAGTGTCATGGAGGAACGAACAAGTAGAAGAAGTTACATGGGAAGCGGAAGAAGCAATCAAATTGAAGTATCCTCATCTCTTTCAGATCCAAGAGAAAGATGAAAATGCTTAGTTTATGTGCCGACTAGTAAGTATACATCTATATGAATTATGTGATTAATTGTAGTTCTAACTTAGGCTTGAATCTGTTTGGGCTGGATAACTATGGTAACATTCGAGGATGAATGTTTAAGGAGGAGAGGATGTAATAGCCCGTCTTATGCATATGCTTGTTCTATTCTTGAGATACGGATGGCCTTATAGTATAGATGAGGAATCATGTTCCTTACATGATTAGTGTTGGTTAAACTAGCCGGAAAGTGATGTATCGTGATATGCACGTTTCAATGTATTTATTGTAAGTTGACTCCGCTAGATGTATTTAAACTAGAGACAGTAAGGTGGTAATTAAGATTAAATTTGAAAGTTAAGTTCTAAGTTGAAGCAAAAGGATGTAATATTCATAAAATTTAATAAAATAATTGAGCTTCTTTCTTGGATTTATTAAGCTAGCAGCTGTATCACCTACTTGAGCTACAATAAAGGGCCAAAGCTTGATGGACCAGATTTAGAATTATAGTAATGGTCTCACTTGAAGCCCAAATTTATTAAAAGAAAATAAAAATAAAAGAAAGTCCAGTACCAAAATCTGCCAAGGCCCAATATAGATAAATCGCAAGTGAAAGCAACTAGGTGCATCACCTTGTTTGATCTTTTGAGCTACTTGATGTGCATAAGCAGGTCCATCACCTACTTGACCAATTACTGGCTGAAAATGGACCTCAAGAAAAGGAGGTTCTAGAGGATATTTTTTTGGTCAAGCTCCATATATATCCAATATGAGCAGATATCCTTCACCCATTTTAACACATAAAAATAAGAATTACTCCAACTCTCTCTCTCTCTCTCTCTCTCTCACACACACACACATTCTCTCTCTCCCTCTCGCTGTCTCTCTGTCTTTCTCTCTCTCTCTCTTTTCTCTTAAAGATTAACCAGCAGCCTTAAAGTTTTCTAGGGTTCATGAAGAAACCCTCATATATGCAAATCAAGGCAAGTGAAAACTCATGGATTTAGCTTAATTCTCCAATGAATGATTAGGGGAACATGTTATTCATGCTCTAATATAACTACAAATGTAGACTATTTCTACCAGCTACTGCTCACTTCCTCAGTTATTAAAATGCCTTTCTTTCTTCTTTGGTTTAAGTATGAAGGGAAGCTGAAGTTCTAAAAGAATTCAAGTTATAAGGAGTTGCCAAAATTGAGGTAAGGTGACTGCTCCATTTTTGTCTTCCATGTGTAAGAGTTTGAGTGAGGAATTAGTGGTGTGCTGTCATGAAGAACTCAAGGGGTTGGTGAGTTCAATAGTTGGTTGTGTGATAAAGAATATTTGGGGCTGTTCTATTTGTACAAGAGAATGACGGTGTGGTGATACACATTATGTTAAGGGTTGTATGGGATCATTATCTTTCAAATTTAGCTACTATTTTACGAGGCTCATGGTGTGATAACTGCTAATTTTAGTTTTCCATGACTTAAATTGTATATTAAAACAATAAAGGAGAGGTTGAATCGTGATAGTATATAAGTTTGAGGATAAGGTATGTAAGTCTATTCGATTCTATAACCATTTGGCATGAAATTTGATACTTGCGATTAATACCAATGAAGTGAATCTCATAAATTTTATTCCTGGAAAAGGAAACATAGTGGCAGCGTACTGTCTCCAAATAGCTAACAAAATTTCCCCCCTCTTTGTTGTTTGAAGTCAATTGTGTCATTAAACTCTTAAATAATGTTCTTAAGTTGGTTACCTGCTTATGTCATTATTATTGCCTTGAAGTATTATTTTCATGTATTCTATTAATTGTCCGAATTTCCATATCTCCAAAATTATTATGACCACCAAAATAACATATCAAAAGAGTTACGATTATCCAAAGAACGATCCCAAAAGAGTTATGAAATGATAAAAATGAATCTCAAGGATTAAAGAAATCTAAGTGACGAAATCAATATAATTACAGGTGGCAGCCCAAGGGTGAAAGCTAGCATGGGTCGATCCCAACTGGTACATAAGGGTGGCAGCTCAGGGGAGAAAGCCTAGCATGGGCCAATCCCAAATTGTGTAATTATGAGGACCGCAACCCACGGGTTAATATGCCTAGCATGGGTCATCCTCTTCCACCACTGATTAGCTTGTCACTTGTATAAAATGCCCTACAAAGATTATAACGTACACAAAAGTAAAGAAAACAATGTAACTTACATGATCTCACAAGAATAAGCAAAGGTGGTCTTCTCTGCTTATCTATGCACTCATATGTTGATACTTGATTTCATTTGAGCCCTCGTATTACATATGCTATATTGCCTTACATATTCAATACATTTTTTTGTACTGATGTCCCTTGCTGGGGACACTGCATTTCTTGATGCAGGCACATGCACTCCAGCTAGTAGACCTCTTCAGTAGGAACATACGACACTATGATACTTTTGGTGAGCTCCAGGTTGATTTGGAGCTTTACTAAGTCCTTGGTAAATACATGTTGGTATTGTATTGTAGTGAAGATTACTCATTTAGGTGATGGAGGATTATTCCATCATTTATCTTAAAGAGGTAGTTAGAATTCATGGATTTGCATTGTCAATTATTTCATATAGAGGTGCACAATTTACTGCACAATTTTTGAGGTCATTTCTGAAAGGCTAGGGTTCAAAGGTGAACTTGAGTACGACTTTTCTTCCTCAGACTAACGGTCAAGCAGAGCATACTATTAAAACTTTAGAAAATATTTTGAGGGCTTGTTTAATTGATATCAAAGGTAACATCCGGGTTTACCCCGTAGACATAACCGGCATCTTCGTCATTTTTAAGGTCTAAGACTAGCGTCTTAGTCTCATGTCATTACATTCATAGTTTTAAAATTACGGAAAAATTTAAAACTTTCATTATAACTAGTTGGAGGTTTACATAGACCTCTACATACACATAATATATAATCATATCGAGTATACATACACCCTTCGTATAGGAAGGTTGCATAGCCTTCTACTCTTATTGTGCATACATATATATAAAATATAAATATAGTCTCAACGATTGTCTCATCTCATACAATCTACACGATTATCACAATATGGGCATAACCCTTACATCAATTCAACAAGACAACATATAGGTCATACAAAAGTATAATACTCAATTGAAAAGGGAAAGAAATGAAAGAATCTTTTAACTCAGAACAAGTCCGTAAGATAGATTGTGGCATTGACCTCGGAAGTTGAGGACCTACCCCACTTTGATGAAATGAAGAATCCAAGCCTTCAATAATGTCTCCTTCAAAACTCTTCAACGACCGGAACATAAAATGTTTGAAAAAAGAGAATAAAATGGGGTTAGTACTCCACATGTACTAAGTATGAGACCTTATGCATATATACAAGCAAAATACGCTAAAAAGGGACTCTTAGTCCAAACATGCCATTTTACCCCTTTAGGAACCTAGTGCAAAGCCAAACCAATCGTATCAACCAGCCAAACATGCTTACGATCTCAATAAGTAATACTTATCCCAACATACTTGAACCCATAATTTAATACAACCCTATTATCAAGGAATAACATTACAAGAATGAATAAGAGTCAATTATAACATAATAAGAAAGACCCTACTCATGAATCCTTATCAAGTCAACAAGTGCAATGACAAAGCAATGCCACATAACCTCACTCAATCAAGTATCCTCAACAAGAAAGCATGACCAATGTCCAACTTTACATAACATATCATTTAGATTTACACTTCATATTATGTTAACATTATAACCCAAGGCATATTCATAAATGAACTGATCAACATATAGTATGAACAATATGCCAAGGTCATCATATGTATATCATATATCATCATAATATAAACATATATAAGAACCTCCTCCTAAGAGTCCCCTCAAGGATAACTAGTGCAATGCTTAGGTAGAGTCCCATAACTCTACCTAGACTAATATAGAACTTGTAGGTTATCCAAGTTAGAGTTCAAGTCCTTTAATTCATTATACCTTTTGGGAACATCTTGCCCTAACCGATATAGATTACATGAGCTAGTGTGGAATCCGGTGTCATAAAACCCAACACCGAAAGTAGGCGGACTACTTGCCAAAGTAGTACCAAAACATAAAACATAGGAACTATGTGGATCCACTAGCTTACTTCTTATGGGGGTAACATGGTTCAAGAACTAGGAGATATAATTGGGACCCTCTTTATGCACCATGGATTATACTCTCCAATCTCAACAGTAATGTAGTGATCCTACCTTCCCTAGGTGGGAAGGGAAACTCTTCAATCTAGTCTACTCGGTGATAAGATAGAGTCCCTTTTTGAAATATCTTTAAGCCTTTAATTACCAATCATAGCTTAGTTTAGATCATAGGGTTTATCCCTTGTAAAATCATCATTATCAATAGCTCCATAAGAATTGTATGAGTATAAGTCCTTTTATCTCAATTCATATAAGTGAGGTTAACACATTAGCAATTCGTAGCATATCAAGGATTATTGGTAGTTTTAACAATCCTATATCACATACACCTTAATCAACCTCACAACATAGTCAAGACATTTCAATTGAACATCATACAACACTATCATCCAGTATAAGTCGTACTCCAATGTAACATCATGACTTAAGCACAATTAATCACAATTGAAAGTAAAGATAGAGATTCTAAGACTTACCAAGTCTTCCTCATAGTTCATAATCAAGGTCTTACCATCAAACCATAACTAAACCCATTTCGGGAGTAAAATCATCACACCATGATAACCAATAAGATAACAAGGCCAATTGCGTCTCGAGAACCCAATTCAACACTAGATCATATTTTAAGACAAGATATATAGGATAATATCACAATATACTTCATAACCTAAATATTATCTCAAGAAATAGAATGATAACCATAGGATAGTTATCTAATCAATAGCCAAGACAATTGAATGATCACCATATAATATAGATCAATATCAGAACCCAGGGTTAGGGATTGAGGATCATGTTCTTCAATTTAGATGAAACCATTAAAAATTACCATAAACAAGTTAAATCACATGTTAATCTATTCAAGATAACATACATAAATAATAAATAGCTCAATCCATAACTTCAATTTCGTAATTTGATGAAACCCATAAGGAAACTCAACTTTTGAAATCCATTTTGAAGGAACCCTTTGAGGAAAGAGTCTCAAAGGTGAATTAGATCCCATACCTTAATGTTTGATAACAATGTGGTGATAAATTCATCCCTTTTACATCCCCAAACCATTTTCCTTGGTAGTCTTCAATGGTGAGTTCAAGTAGAGATAGAAAGAAGAGAGAAATCAGAGAGCTTATGTTTGAGAATTGTCTTAGATTAATGAGGGTTGGAAGTATTTATATTGGGTCTTGAATCAACTTAATTAGACTCCCTTAACCCCTAATTAAACCACCTATCCCCTAACTAATTAAATGAGACCAACTTAATTTAAGCAGAAAACTTGACAGTCATAGACAAGACCCCGAACAACGGGCCGTCTGTGAGTCGACAGACCCTTCCCCTTTCGTCCAGCACTCTCTCGATGAGTGCAGAAATTGTTTAGGCGAGGGGCTTCCACATCATTTTTAAGTATGGGACAACGGTAGAATGGACGCCCCGTTTGTCCACTCACAACCCGTCTATTGCCCCGTCGATGCACACTGCCAGGTAGTGTTGCTTCAAATGCTAGGGTCCTCTCCAAGGGCCCTTAGTCGGTCCTTGGGGAGTTGTACCAGGACGTTTCCACCACGTAACAACCTAAACACCTATAAGATACCCTTCCACCAATTTTCGTACATTTCCTACTCCTAAAAGTAAGTAAAATCGGCTAAGGCACGCTAACATCCCTTTGAACCAACTTCCCGAATGTCATGGACGTTCTTGGACGTTTTAGTTCTCAAATTTTCTAAATGACCTTTATTCATTTATAATGGACTTAAAAACAGTACTTACACCATATGACACCTACATTAGGCTTTACGACACATCTGGAATTTTCAAGGTGTTACATTATCCCCCCTTAGGAACATTCGTCCCTGAATGACACCAAAACTCTTTTGAAGGAAGGAATAGACTCAAGACTAGAAGCCCAACCAATCAACAACATCTAATAACATAAATCATATCATTTCAACAAGGTAATTCCAAAATCTTTAATAACCACTTATAATGCTCAAACATTTCATCATGAGGTATTTAACACACGAGGTCAATAATTGCATGAATCAATCAGCACAGAGTTCATCTTATCTACATGATACATATAATTTATAAAGACTCACTATATCAAAATGCACAATATAACTCAAAACAAGTAAAAAGCAAAATTTCAAGTTTTCAAAGGCTATATTACAGTAACTTCATCGTTAATCTTTCAAAAATGCATACATTGTAAAACTTCACCCCAAAAAATCAAGAAACCTTAAATTCTAGTCATATTTATACTATTAAAAAAATGACTAACCTTAATTCTCAAAAATATGAGGGTAACGGGACTTCATGTCGGCCTCGGCCTCCCATGTTGCACTCTGGACTAGGTGATTCTTCCATAACACCTTTACGAAAACCACCTCTTTATTCCTCAACTTCATGACTTGCCTATCAAGAATTTAAACCGAACTTCCTCATAAGAGAGGTTATCCTTAACACCAAAATCCTCAATAGGAAGAATGGAATCGGGATCACCAATACAATTTTTCAACATAGAAACATGGACTCATAGGGATCAATTCACTAGGAATTTTCAATTCATAAGCAACCTTACCAACCCTTTGAAGGATTTCATAGGGACCAACATAACGAGGACTCAACATCCCTTTCTTTCCAAATCTAACTACCCCTTTCATTGCTGAAATTTTAAAGTACACCTTATCACCTTCTTACAACTTCAAATCCTTTCCCCTATGACCGCCATAATACTTTTGCCAACTTTAGGATGTTTGTAACCAAAAAATTATGATACAAACCTTTTCTAAAGTATTATAAATCAACTCAAGACCAAGAAGCGATGGCTCAGCAACTTCAAACCATCCAATAGAATACCTACACCTCCTACCATACAATGCTTCATAGTGAGCCATGAAAATGGATGAATGAAAACTATTATTATAGGCAAACTCCACAAAAGGCAAATGTCTATTCCAATTCCCATTAATATCAATAATGCACGCCCTAAGCATATCTTCAAGGGTTCTTATAGTATGCTCCGCTTGTCAATTCATTTGGGAATGAAAAGCGATTCTCAATTTCACCGTAGTACCCAACCCTTTTTGAAATGATCTCCAAAATCTAGATGTGATTATGCGCCTCGATCTGTATGATGGATAACGGAATTCCATGGCGGCACACAATCTCATATAGGAAGATCTATGCATAATCTTCTACTGAATACATAAACTTGATTGGAATAAAGCGACCGAACTTAGTCCATCGATCCACAACCACCCATATGGAATCATATGACTTTTGAGCCTGAGGTAAACCTACTACAAAGTCCATATTGATGTGTTCCCACATCCAAGTAGGAATTTGGATCTTTTGTAGCAAGACACCCAACTTTTGGTGTTGACCTTTACTTTTTGGAAATTCGGACACTTAGTGACAAACTCCGCTATATCCCTTTTTAGACCTTTCAACAAATATATCTCCCTCAGGTCATGGTACGTTTTTGTCAAACCCGGATGAATTGAGTAGCGGGTCGCATATGCTTCTTCTAGGATCTGATCCCTCAACCCATCTACATCGGGAACACACAATCTCCCCTGGTACCTTAACACACCATCCTTTTCTAATGAGACTGATTCATTTTACTTGGCGAGAACCATTTTTTTCAATTCCGTTAAGGCTAGATTGATGATTTATTTGAACTAACATGAGTGACATGTACCCCTCAATACCATTCACACGTAGTCAAGCAAAGGATCTCCGAGGCCTACAAGCAATGTTCATTAAAATGGAAGCATTAGAGGACATTGAAGGTCAATAAAGAAGGACATACAATGTGTTTACATTTCATCAAATTGAGAAGGAAGAAAGAAAGGGGCCATGTGTGGAAATGGCCATTTCATAAATTCAAGAATTCACAAAAGAAGGCAACCAACGAAGGCCCTTAATATTGGAAGCATGGATGACACTAAAATGAATGACATGTACCCCTCAATACATTTCACACGGAGTCAAGAAAAGGATCTCCAAGGCCTACAAGAAATGTTCATGAAAAGGGAAGCATTAGAGGAGGTTGAAGGTCAACAAAGAAGGACATACAATGTATTTACATTACATCAAATTGAGAAGGAAGAAGAAAAGAGTCCACGTGTGCAAATGGCCATTTCATGAATTAAAGAATTGACAAAGAAGGCAACTAAACAAGGCCCTTACCTAAGTAAGGTAAAATTGTCAAAGAAGTGTCTTCTTTATTTCCATAGTATAAATATTAGTCTTTTATCATTTTGCAAGACTTAGACTATATTGAATATTGACTCTCAAATAGGGTGAATCTTGGGAATGCAAGGTAACTTCTTGAGTTTGATTAATTTAAGTGTTACCACTTTGTGATTCTTGATTTCCTATGATTATTCTTTCTTTGGTTGAATTTAGGTTTTTAAAGTCAATTGGGAGGTCAGGGTGTTGGTCGCTTGTTTCCCATAATTTAAATAACTTGAATATTAATTCACATATATTTTTATTTATTTGTGTCTTTCATTGTTTGATCTTTATCATTTGGTATCAAAGCCTAAGTTTAAATTTGTTCTTACAAATCTGGTCTTAAGTTAAAAAAATCTTGATTTTTTTTCGGTGTTTTTTTGACACTAGATCCTTGTTCCCTAGTGTATTTTGTTCAATTTGGAGTTGTAGAAGTGAAGTTACCATTAAAGGGTTTCAAGATTTTCACACTTTTCAAATTTTGAAAGTGGGTCTTCTGATAGAGTAGAAATTGGAGGTTAATAATTAGTGGGATTTGTTCATGTAGTTTAAGAGAAGAAAATCCTAAAATTTGAGCCAATTTTGAGTTGATTTGAGTGTATTGGGGTGAAGTGTGTGTTCTTGGTGTACTTCAAGTTGTTCTTGAACAAGAAGAAAGAAGAAAGTACATTTGATCCAACTTTTTAAGTCATAGTTAGTCAAAAGTGTTTTTTGGGGTCCATCAGTGAAATTTTGAAAAAAAAAAGAAATTCAAAATTTGAAAAAAATAATTTTTTCCACGTGGACTGACACGTTAGTAGTCACATCTGACATATCTGCCACGCCAGCGCCACACGGCATTGCATCAGCATCCAGCGTAGCAGAGAGGCAGCCAACAAGGCCCAGACGCCTAGTCAGTGCGTGGGGCTCACTTTCAAAGGATGAAATGTGCAAATTTTCCCTTGACAACCAAAAAATATTACATGTATGGGAAGGTTTTTGGACCTAGAAATTTTTCTAAGTGTCCAAACTTCTTAATTTTTTTTTATGATTTTTCCAATCAACTCCTCAACTAATTAAAAATTAATTAACATATTTAATTACTTGTTAACTAGTTTTGATCATCAAATCATCCAATCAATATCTTATAAGTGATGAACTTTTTTTGAGGCTTGAAATTTTTCTAAGTGTCCAAATTCACTTCTTCTTCTTCTAAACCCACTTTCGTTCTATTTTCCACTATTTAACAATTAATTAACATCTTTTATTACTTGTTAACTAGTTTTAAGCATCAAATCATTTCCTTGATCCTTCAAATTAGGTAACAAGTAGCAATCTTCTACTTTTCTTACTTATTTTATTTTGAGTCCGAATCTTTTGGTACTTCTTTATTCTACTTTTATCATCTTAATTTGTTGATAACCTTCTTGATTCAAGGTCGTTAGTTTTTTTGGTCATCCTTCTTTCAAGAGTCACAAGAATCTATTTCAGCACAAAGGATAGGTGATCTTGAGTTGATTGAACTTAGGTAGTTCACTATCAATTTTGAGAGGACACGATAGATGGTGAGTTGAGAGTTACCTACGAGTGAAGTGAGACTTTTGCTACTAACCTCATTTGTTGAGTTCTTTAGGTATCATGGCTAATACAAATCCAATTGAAGAGAGCTCGGAGAACATCATGGAGGTTCTTGCCAACATGTCCAAGCAAGTAGCAGAAATGAATAGAAGGATGGGAGGTAGCAAATCAATTAAACCCGAAAATGAGGAGATAAGGAGGACATCGGTGCATTCCACCACTCTTACTCCAGTATAAGCTCATAATCTATGTTCTCCTCCACAGAGTCATATCCAAAACTACCAACTCCCCACTTTTAAAACTCCCAACCCTCCAAATCACCTAAGACAGCCTACACCACATCCAAATTCACAACTTTATCACCCACCACAAGAGATATTCCTTTTTTTTTGGCCAACCAAGCCCAATACCAAACTCCATTTTGAAATGATTCAAATCCATCTTTTCATCAAACCTAAAAATCACATCCACAAAATGCACCACAAATTCCCTACAAAGACTACCAATACAAAAATTCTCTCTATGATGAGATTAATGAGGAGTTCAAGAATGATGAGTTTTGGGGTAGATATGGAAATGGAGTACAAAGAGAATGAGTAAGACCTCGGGACTTGGGGTGGCACAAAGGCAAGGGAGATCAAGATAATATTGGATATAGAGGAGATAGGATGGAATATAGAGGCGATAGGATTGGAAATAGATGAAATAGGTTTAGGGAGAGGAATGATCAAGCTTGAACACTATCAAGGTCACACTTCCAAGGTTTAAAGGAAGTAGTGACAACGATAAGTTCTTGGAATGGAAAATACAAAGTGAGCGGATCTTTCTTAGAAAT